CAGGAATGCAGTAACCTGCAATACTTGAGAGCATATTATGTGCTAGGTGTTTTATGTACACTTTTTCTATCCTGACCTTATAAAATAGGCATTGCATTAATGCCTTAGCAGATGAGGAAACTGAGGTTCAGAGGAGTTACGTCACTTTCTGAAGGTTAGAGACAGTAAGTGGTATAGCAGAGATGTAAATCCCACTCCATCAGGTGCCTCTGGAGTTAGCATGCTTCTCCATCAAAAGAAGGCAAGGTAGTTGCTAAATATCTGCCCAAATCTGACCCGCCTTCAGTGGGTTACCACAGCCTCCTCCACAGAGGCCTCCTTGATTTCCTTTCTTTCTCTGTAATCCCAGCTCCAGGAACACGGACTTTCCACACAGTCTCCCTTCGTTATTTAACTTTGTATGTGTGTGTGTGACTTTCCCCTTTCTCCCTAGAGCATGTGCCCCTGGGGCAGGGTGACACGTCCCAGTGCGCTTCCCTGAAATGCACCTCCAGTTTCCCCTTCACTCTCAGCACCAAGCAGTGCAGAGCCTTGGCGTCCCCAGGGCCCTGGGGTCCTAACCACTTTGGATGGACCTTTCTGAGGGCCCAACACAGCTGCCAACAGATGGACCCGGAGGAGGCCTTTCCTGCCTCCCTTCCCCGCAGTCAGGGCTGGCACCTGTGGGCCAGTTACCTTGGACTGTCCTCAGGGCTTGAGGCAGGGGCTGCGGCAGAGGCGGTGGCAGCATGGGCAGCGGCTGTGGCCAGGGGTGGCGAGGCTGCGCTGGGAGAGGCAGCAGCAGGCGGCTGGGCAGAAGCGGGCAGCAGCGGGGTGGTGGCCTGGCTGGTGCACACTGGAGCATGCTCAATGGGGGTGCTGATGAGGCGGACCGAGAAAGACAACAGGTCAAGGGCGCCCCTCTGCTGGGGGGCGGTGGCTGCAGAAGAGGCAGGCTGGGCGGAAGGTACCAGCCTTACTGCCAACAGAGCAGGATCTTCCAGAAGTCCTGTCCCCAGGCTCAGGGAAAGAATACCCCCACCCAGGACCCCAGGATGGAAGGGCTTAGACCACAGGGAGATCACAGTAACATCAAAAATATTTTCAAGCCTAGTGAGATTCCCCTGCCTCCCATTTTTGTGTATTTCCTAATTTGTCTTTCTCAGCGTGGACTATAAAAACAGTGCGGTCAAAAAGTAGTCTAAATTATCACACAAGGTTTCTCCCCCATCCTGTTTTCCTTTCTTTCACCCTTCCTCATTTAGTCAGAGGCATGCATTGCCTTTGAGAAGGGATGATATAATGAAAAAAGCAGAGGTAAGATATTTTGTTGTCAAGGGCTTAAGCTCTGAAGTTGTGACAGCCTGGGCTTTAGGCTGCGAAGCACTCAGGGCACTGATGATACATTTGGAAGATGGGTGAAAGCTACCATGCCAGACAGATCAAGGTCATCTGGACCAGAAAGGGGGCAACGTGGCATGAGGGATTCGAGAATAGAGGCAGCTGTGCCCGTTTTCTGGGCAAACCCTGGGGAAGTGGCAGGACCCCAGGGTCCCCTATGCCCAGGCCCATGGTGAAGGGGCAGGCAGGCCTGAGGCAGCCCAAAGACCTGTAGGCCATCCTGTGGCCTGGGGGTTGTAGACGGTTTCCCACACACCTGAGAGTGACACGGACGTGGCCCTGAGCGCCTGCACATCTGAAAGTCCCTGTACTTGGGAACATGAGAGGTGACTGTTCTGCCAGTGTGGACCAGTGTGACCAGAAGGATGGAGATACCCCAGCAGATGCCAGCACAGGTAGACCACGATCAAGGACCAGGTGCCCAGACGCCCCACCCCACCCTCCTTGGCATTCTGCAAGCCCCTCTTCCCCCAAACCACCCCAGACAAGAGGAGCATCAGAGCCTGGGTTGATGAGATTAGATTTCGGCCACCTGTGAAATGAGGGCGGGAATAAAAATTAAATTATAGGAAAGCAAAGAAATGTACATGGGTTGTTGGACTAAGATATGTCTGTACTTGTTACAATGGCGACAGGATACTGCAACTCCTATAGGTGGGAATGATTTTCCTTATGCTATGAAATTCAATTACTGACCTCCTACTATGTGCCAGGCCTATGTCTTTAATCCTCACAAA